TATGAGTTGGTATGACTTCAAATTTCATGGCACATTACTTTAGAAAACCTTATTGTTGTGAAGATTTTTTGATCTGCACTAAATAAATAATTATTACGGCGCACTATTTAACTAAAATTGGTTTGGTACAATTCCGTCAATTTCTTGGCTGCAGTCGGACAATTTGCGCAGGAGAGTTTTTCTAATCGAACATTAACTTTTGAAGATAAAAAGTCCTGGGATGCGTGTACATAAAAAATCGTAGGTCATCTCTGATTAAAAATCAAATTCTCCTCGGGTTTTACAAATAAAAAAGAGACAATTTGAAAGGCGAATCGAAGAGTCTACCAGAAGTCACAATTTTGAAAAGGTTATCGCTCCTTTGTTTTCATTTATTGCTTCAAACTTCACTTGACAAACCAAACATTTCTCGACATTTCATACTAAGAATTTGTTCCATATTTTCTTCGATACGAGTTTGTGCTCCCTGACCAAAAGAAAAGTCAGTTTAGTAGCGTTTTTGATGGAAAAGAGCGCCAGTTCACATATTTTTATTCAGGACTGTCTGTCTTAAAATAGAATAAACTACTCTGTTAGGTTTCAGATGAACATTCCATAATTTTTTTGTGTGGATTTCCTAGCTTTAAACGAACACAAAGATAGGTATTCTTAGTCGTAACTTAATCTGGCTACTAATTATTTTTTTATTCTTTGATTTATCCCCTTAAGTAGATGAGAGCAAGAAGGCAGAAAAGAAAGAAAGTTACAAACCGCAAATGGAGCGAGGCGATGATGCTTCTCTGGTTACGCAAAGAGTCGCTTCGTCCTCAAGACAGGATTATCCTTCTAATGTAATTACAAGAGACGGCGTGTCTGCCTTTGAAGCACCTGGTTTTGCTTTCACATCAAAGCTCGCAGCTCTTCCTACCACTGAGGCATCTTCGTGCCAAGCTGGTTCCGGTTTGTCTGACAAGTTACAACAGCCACAAGAACCATTATTAAAGAAGGCAGCACCTGTTACCTTTGGAGGAAGAATTGTTCAAAGAGAAGGTATTCCTTTTGGAAGATCTTGTCGTTTTGGTGGACAGAATATGAAGATTTCACAGCAGTCACAGCGAAACCAATTATTTGGTAAGTCGGGAGAAAATGATGGATTATTTGATTCATCCAAAAAGAAAGCAATTCAAGAGATACCAACGTTCATGGAAAAGGAAGCAGTGCCCCCAGTTGTTGGAAGACGCTCAGGTTCTAGTCTGCAGAATATGGAGATGTCTAACTCAGCTCAGTCATCTGGTAGTTCTACGTTTGCCCGATTTCAGACGTTGCAGCGAAACCCCTTAAATTTTCCACAAGCTGCTGGATTATTTGGTAATTCGCAGCAGATCAAAATGTTTTCCCAGCCACTGAAAGCTGCAACCGATCCATGTAGCTCTCGTTCCACATTAAACAGAGTAGATCGTCGGATGGAAGAGGAAGTGAGGCAAGAGATACCAGCGACTATCAAAGGAGATGGAGCAGTTCCAATGAATGCAGAGCCAATGTTAAAACAGGAAACATGTCCAGTCCCAGGAAATCTCCAACAGCCTCTTCCTCCACCTCCTGCACCACCACCACCACCACCTGCTTCCCTTGCACCCATGCACCGCCCTACTCTCCTCCCAGGGGGCTCTCGTCCTCCAACCGTTGTACCAGCTAGAGCGTCGTTGATGAAAGATTTCCCTGGAGTGAGCAAGACGCTAAAGGGAGTAACAGTAGCCTCTAAGCAGTCAGCATCTGCAACCACAACTGCAGTAACCGGATTTGGGGCTCCCCCCCCTCCTCCTCCTCCTCCGGCCTGTTCAGCAGCAGGCAGCTCTAAACTTCTTTCTGTCGGGTCAAAACCCCCTCCCTCGATCGGTTCAACATACGAGGGGAAAGTCTGTACGAGATCTATAGAGATGGAATGTCCAGGGCTGAGGGAAGCCGTCTTTCCAGATAAGCCAGAAAAGCTAAAACGGATATTTACTGCACAAAATTCGGTAAGTATCGCAAAATGCATACGATTATCCAATTAAGGGTGCTTATTTTCCATTGGTTAAAGTCACACAATCTAGGTGGGATTTCGTCATATTTCCATCATCAAACTGATCTGGGCAAATTCCAGTTGGTTTTCCGAACCTTAAACCTCAACTCTCTTCCTTAGAACTAACTGTAACGGCTTGAGACTACGTGGGGACATGCAATTTTGCTATGAATCAGCAATTGAAATTTCCTTGATTGTAATATCATCCCCCAAATGCAAGTTTGAATTGTTATATCATAAATTATTTTTAACTGATACATATTGATAACTCCTTACTCCTCAAATCGAATCATTGATCATATCCAGTAATTTACCGCATAGTAAATAATTTACTTTATCGGCCAGAGATTTGTTTAGGAATTGGTATTATTTTGGAACTGTAATTGTAAAAATTACAGTTCCATTACTCCTTATAAAAAGGAGGTTTGGTAATAGCCTGTTAACTTCAAAATAATGAATATTCTTATGTTATAACAGTCGTGTGATACCATGGCTCCCCTCAGTCCCATGACCGTAACTAATTTAGTCGTAAATAATTGTAAATTCTGTCTTCCTTTGGTAAAACAAGCTTCCCAAACGTCAGTGTAAGAAAAAAGATTCTTAAGCTAGAACCACCATTTATGGTGTAAAGAATCCAGGTAAGGGAGAATTCTTTGCCCTCGACCTTAAGTGTGTTTCAGGTACAGCCCAAGAGTCCTTTGGTTTCAATGATATAAACAGTACAGCTTATATTTTTTAATAAAATTTGTCGATTTTTTTTATTTGATGAGCTTTTTGGTGTTTTTCAGGAGGGTTTCTGGAATGTGGATGACTTGCCTATCATTGGTATAGACACACAAGGCTTTACTGATTTGCTGGCAGGTGCTGGTGCCAGGTCTCTTGGTACGCTTCTGTTCTGTTCTGTTCTGTTCTGTTCTGTATTGTTGCTGTTGTTTTATCTAAGACGGGTACACAATTGAAAGAGTAAAACATAGTCAAACGCCTTTCCTTCAGTACAAGATCTTGTGTTGAAATCTTTATTTCATTACATTTCTACCAACCTTATCAGCGACAACAGAAGATTCTACCGAGTTGCTAAATTGAGACTTATCTTGAACGTGGCGACATTAACAATGTGGGAATTTGCTGATTCTTCTGTAGATTTTATACAGATTAATTCTAATTTATGCTTCGAATTTTTTCGAGATCGGGCAAAATTTAACCAGGATTTAGTTTCTCTCACTTCCTACCCCTCTCCTACGCTCTTGATTCTTCCCTCCTTGAGCCTTGTGCTTCTCCCGTTTGTCTGAAAAGAAACAGAGACTGCTAGGCGAGCCAAACAAAGTGGGGAATTATTTAATTCCAAAGGCTTAGCAATTGCCTACGTTTTAAAACAGAGGCTATGAAAATTTCGAAAATGGATAATTTTCCGTAAAACTTTCGTTGGACTTTGATGAGGAAGACAAATTTTAATGCAGCCAAATTAAGAAGTAATTCCCTGATTTATTGTTTTACACGGCATTTCACGCGATACACTGCAGGTCTTAAAGTTTTTGAAAGCGTGAAAAGACTTCTGGCCACCTTCATGATGTTGGCGTTCATGAAACTGAGGCTTCATGTCGTGTTCCCACTGACGCTTCCATTCGGACAACCTGAGTCTGAGGTGAGAATTTGTCTCAATATTTTGAGGCACTGTTGTCTTTTGGTCAGAACTTAGAGTGCTTAACCAATCGTTAAAATTAGCTCCAATAACCTGAACAAGCTGTTAATTCATCAATGGAAGACGTTGGCAGCTAAAACAAGAATTCCTGGACAGGTTCTCCTGGTCGTATAGCTGGGAAAAAAAATTAACAAAGCGTTTTGATGGCAAGTCTCCTAAGGTGATACGCGTCCTTTAAGACGCAACAATGGTGAACGCGTTCAAATGTCCCTTTAGCGAAATTAAGAATCTTTAACGCAACGTAACGTGATAGGACAGTCATTAATTGGCTCTATTTAGGTGATATAGATAGGGAAAAAACTCCTTACTTACTGAATCTTAGCAGTCTCAAACTTCGTTCTCCGTGTCTTCGTGTTTTGTTTTGTGTTTTTTTTATGTACGCCGGGAAGCCTTCCTGGACACTGGGAACCAAGTCGTATCACTGAAAAATTATTATTAGCGTAGGGTCTGGGACCTGTTGGCAAAGTCCTAAAGGCCCAGTTATTGTTTTTTCAAGGGCAGGTTTTTTAGTTTGACGTTTTGTCTTCTAGGTAACTGTTGGTGGTTTGGGAGTGAAGTATTCCAAAGACATCACAAAAGCGCTCAAGTGGGTTAAGATCCAGGAAAGGAAGATTCCTCTTCTTTACTCCCGACTGGAATTTGGAGCCAACTGGGAAGCGGCCACACGAACGATGGCACGGAAGATGAAAATTTAAAAGTGGAAAAAAAAAACTTGTTAGTGAAATTAAAAGCCCATTGTTCCATTTTTTTAAGCTCCGCACAGATCCTTTTATTTTCGTAAACGGATAATATCCACATAATTTTTTTCTATTGGCAGTTGCGATTATTTTGGTTTTAGTTTGACGACATCCAGTCAAGTTGCGCTTCAGTGCATGGAATTTCTAAGATAACATTCCAAAATTAACAGGAGTCTTTATTAGAAATTGTAGTTGAATCTCTGAGATGTGACGTACTCGCTTTTAAATTTGTCCAAGATTAATCCGGGGAAAGTAATGTAATTGGGACTTAGAGTTGAAACTCCAAAACATAATGAATTTATATTTTAGTTTGGTCAAGATATGTGAAAGGCCTTTTTGAGTTTCAACCTGGTAAGTAAATGAGAACAATATGATGATGTGTGGTTCTAAAAGAACATTTTAATCTCTGAAATATTAATTGATACAGGGGTATTACTAAGCAAAATAATAATTGAGATTAAATAATAAAATAAAATAATACTAAGGAAAATAATGATTGAGATTATATAAGGCATCTTATAAAGTCTAAACGATTACATGATTTGATTTTTTTATTATTGTAAGAGGTTCAAAATCTTCATAATTTTCTGAATATGGCTACTTTTGTTAAATTGTTCGTCTTGCCATCATGACAACGGGGTAACCATATATCAACAAAAAAGGTAAAAATAAAATTCTATTTAATAAACAAGTATAAGCGTGTGGATTGTAATCTTTTATATGATTGGCTGAATCGTGCGCGCAATTTGATTGTGTCTTATGATTTATTGTATGGGACAGAGGCAAAGATGACGTTACCATAAATAACATTTTGCCTTTATCTTATAGAAAAAATAGTTTCCATGTTGCCGTGTCTTTACAGTAATAGATCACAGAAGACTTCAAATCAGTGACACACTCGGCCACCCCTCGTGTGCCTCTTTTTTTTTACCACAATTTTACGTCATCTGTGATCTATTACTGAACAGAAGCACAACAACATGGGATCTATATGGTAAATAGCAAAATTTCATAGAAGTCTATTACATGTGACATGTAGCTGTCACAAAAAAATTGCTTTCTTCATGAGGCTAATGGTTGGAATTGACTAACAAATTTAAGAGTTGGTTGAGTGTTGTCCGTTATTTTCCGAGCGTTTTCCTTTTTGTAATAAATTCCCATATGTTTATGTGAATTAACTAAACAAGGCGGATAAATTTGGTTGATTATTAGATTCTCTTTACGTGTAGACTGGTCTCATTGGCCTGTTTTCGGTTGTCCTCACTCATTCCCGGCTTCGTCCATGCGTCTTAAGCACTCATTAAAACACATGGGAAACCATTGGGTAAAAATACGTTACTGTCGTGTCAGCCGGCGGGAAACTAGCCTGTAAACTGGCTCCCTATTCCAAGTTCGTGCGAAGCGGGGAGAAAGAGAGCGAGGAGGGGATGAGGGTAGGGAGGACGACGCTGCCTTACCCTTAATCCCCTCTTCCGCTTACTGATTGATTCGCAGCCAGTTGCTCTCATCGTTGGCAACCGGACCTTATCATTTGACTATCGTCAAACTGGCCCAGAATGAAAAGGAATTGATTGGCGCCCTCCTCAGCGTTTATTGGAACACAGAAATGACTTTGTTTTGAGTTGCCTTTGTACAAAGATCACAACTTTTCTTAAATAACACTTAATAAACGGATTCATGATTTAAAACGAATGTTAGAGTGCCACTGAGAGTGCGAGAGAAAAGATAGATGAAAAGATGGGGGGGGGGGCGGGGAGCTTATAGGAGAACTCGTTACCAACAGATGATTTCGTAGCTTAGTTGTTAATAACAAATCTCCAGCAGGCACGGGGTTGAGCCCCGTTGAACTCTGAATTTTTTCTCAGGCTTCAGTTTTGCGTTTTCTTCGGATCAATTGCAGTTAGCCCATGATGATCCATTTTTCATTCTTGAGCAGCACACATCACCATCAGTTGAGATTTTTCTTCCATTTTATAGAGTCATTTTGAAATTATTCCTTTCCTCTACGTACAGTGCTAATACACTCCCATTCAAAATACTCACTTGTTTTCACAACATTAAGCTTCCATTTTCAAAAATAAATATCTAACGTTTTGCTGCTGCTTCGTGAAACGAACATATATACATTAACATTTACATCAACTTCCTTTCGAGTTTCCTAGGCAAACACAATGTGTGTCTCGGGTTTGTCAGTTAAAATTACATTCAGTTCTATCTTGCCCTCTCATGAACAACACAATTTACTCTCTGCATTATTCGGAAAAATGAACCAAGATGATAATTTCACGTGTTTGTGTCACAGTGGACTGTTTAGTTCTACTTGCTAAAAAGACGCGACAAAGCGAGCTGTTTTCGTAGATCGTCAACATGCTTTTCTTTGCTTGTAAGTCTCTTGTGTATTTCTTGAATTACCATTTTTCTTTCTTCGCTTATTCGTTTCTCGTGGCCGGCTTCCTGGCGAAGCTTGTCGACAACAACTTCAAGACGTGTGAGATTGGCGACTGCGATGTTTCTCTCGTTTCGCAACTTCTCTGTCTCGTTGAGAATTTTTGCTTTGCTCTGAACTTTCTCCAACTCCTTTGCGTCTTTTACTTCTTTAACCTTGTTGCGAAGTTTCAATTTCAGTTCATCGACGGCCAGTTCTGCCACAGACTTGTTGTTGATTGCTTCAGCTCGGTCGTACGACATTTTATGAATTGATTCTTTCAGTCTTTTCAATTCCTCGTCTTTTCCGCGGATAACCTGTCCCCAGTTTTCAGGGAACGGAAGCTGAGAAATTTGGGCCTTTAGTTCTTCGTTTTCCTGGGAAAGAACAAGAAGTTTCGATTTCGTTTGCAGAAGTTCATCTCGTAACTGTTGACCCTCGTGCCTTAAAGCACCATTTTCTTCCCTTATCTCCAGGTACGCTTTGTAGATGATTTCGTAGTCTTTAGCTTTCGGTCGCTTTGGGGCTCTTTTGATCGGTTCCTCGACTGCGTAAATACCGTTTCTTGTAAACGTTCCTTTTGTTGGAGCGATAAAAATGTGACTGGTTCTCCGTGAGCCTGCAACGGCTGGTGTTAATCCAGTAAATCTAGAAGGCGCAGAAACTCTGAACTCCATGTTAGCAAATGCCATACCTTACCACTTTACTTCTATTAAATTGTAAACAAACAAGCGCCCTTAATTACACTCTGCATAAATCCGTCTTCCCGACAGTTAATAAAATTTCCTTTCTTTTACAGAAGTTCAAGGTCAAATTACTGCAATCAAGGTATTAACTTTGCCATTGTGACGTGTGTGTGCAATTCATCACTAACTGTTCAAAATAGAACTGCAAATAAAAGATCAATAAACTTGGCAATTAATTACGTACCCTTATAGATACCAATTTTAGAAGAGGTTTATTGGGCATCCGCGTGGAAAAATGGGTTTTTGTGCTGGGCTGTCTTAATGGATAACTTTGGATAGCTTTCAAAGTCGAGCTCATAAGTGGAAATGTAACTTATAGCCCAAATATGATTTGTTTCAAAGCGGCCAGGAAATATAAAGCAATCCCCTGCCAACCTGTAATTCAGCCCATTGTTCCCTACAAAGCGGCGGTCTCTTCACGAAATGAGACTTCATTTGAATTCGAAGTTTCCAGAATTTAATAAACAAACAGCACAACAACCATTTTCGCGTACTGTAAAGCCGAACACAAAAGCTTGTCAAAATCTGGCTAATTTCTCAACCAGTATTTTTTTTGCAACTTTCTCAACTACCTTTAAAACTAATTATAATCAAAGAAAAACTCAGAATTTCATCGGCAATTTAGTGTAATGATTTTTCAACAAAAAGTAGCATCGATTTGATTTAACGATTTCTTTGATTAGCTGATTGTTTTACGGCGTCAAGAACTGTAATTTCTCCTATCTCTTTTCGGTTGACGGTGCGAGAGTCAGTAAGGCCCTGAACACACTAATACGAAAATTGTAAGAAAAGGTTCCGACCAGTTAAGAAGAACCGGGGAAGGCGTGTTAGTCAGGAGCAAGAGAATATAATATTTTGTCAGGAGCGAATAACGACCCGTGGTTTTTTCATACTATGCCAAAACATTGACAGTTACAGCAGAGAAATCAGTGAACTTTCACCTACAAAGATAAGAAAATCCGTTAATCACGTTTCTTCGAGCGTACGTGAATAAAATCTTGATCACGTTTTCTAGTTTTGCATTGTTTAATCCTCGTTTGTCCAGAAGACAATAAAAGTATTAAGTTGGGTCATTGTTAAACACAGGAAGCATCACGATCAAGCATTCTCGATTTAAAAATGGATTAATCCTGTTAGCGCTTGTTTACACGTTCGACCTGATACGCAAGAGAGTTACTCAAGCGCAATAAAGTAATACACTCCTCATTATTTTGTGCTGTCACTCGGTTACAAGTATAAAGAAAAATGTATGTTTGAGACTTAATCACTTTATTTATTTAAGTGATCTGCACACTTGGTATAACGACTAGTTTTCAGCTACGCCACTGCGAGTATGGTTTAATGAAAATTAAATGAAAACATTAAAATAAAGAATCCTCGCGAGGAGTCAGATACGTTCTCGTTTCACGCGCGTGACATATGAAGTGGACATTCTCGTTATTTCCACATTATCGGCAAGTTCGTTTAGGTTACTTTGGTTCTTAGTTGGTGCCCGTTGCTTCGACGAATGGCAAAATGCTCATAACGTTTATAAAAACATTGAAGTGAGAGAACACTAGAGAAAAGTAACACCGAATCGACGGCGTGTCTTCACGCATTTTCTCGTGTTTTCCCGCGCAAAACAAAAACTCGCGTTTAGACCTGTGACCCAGTGTGGGACATGACATGAGTATATTGCCCTGCCCACTCTAAATTTAAGGCTCTCTCTCTCACTCTCTTGATTTGGTATTGTATAAAGATAAATCTCTGAAAGAGATAACTGTCTATTTCTAGGGTTGACTGAGAACTTCCAACAACCTTGCAAATAAGAAAGATGATAAATTTTGAGTTAAGTAAAGTGGTTGGGAGAGAGAGAGAGAGAAAGGTGTTTATTCGTCTTGTCTTCGTAACTGTGTGCAAGACGCGTGACTCACTTAGACCTTGTCATGGCAGAGCTCATCGTGGGGTGTCTGTGACACCTCAAGGTGCACCTTAACATTACTTCACAGTTTCAACCTTATCAAAAAAAATACCTTACGCATGACAGTAACAGTTATTTGTATCGTGAAATAGGTTTTGGTTAGTCATCGTGGTAAAAGGCACTTTCAAAAGAGAAATGTAATCGTTTGTCTTACGATGTAGTCACTTTGGACTAGCGACGTATCATACTGCTAGTCGCCTTCAGCTGATGATGCATCGAGAGACAAACGATTTCATTTCTCTCTTGAAAATTATTAATATATGGAACCATTTAATCCAGAGTTAGAGGAAAAGATCCTCAGGTATCGCTGAATAGGAGGTAAACCTTCTAATGATGGTAGATCAGTTGTAAATCTTTTGTGGTAAACATCTAAATATGAGACATAGAGGAAACGCGAATAAGGAGCGTTAGTATCAAGTAAACAGCTAAATTCAATTCCTATGGAAATAGAAAATACAGTAAAAAAACTTTTTTCGGCTCAAGATGGCGTGATAAATATGAAATGTCGAGCAGTAATAGTGGAGCAAAAGCAAATTTCACCGGCACAACCATTCACGAGGAAATATGCTCTTTCAGAGTGGATATGCCAAAACTATTTGCGAGTAAGACTGACACGTGTCATTTCAGGTTGTGCAGTGGGAGGAGAGCGCTCTTACCACTGTGCATCCCTTTTCAGCTCACTGCACTCATTTATGAGTAATTCGCACATAAATTTAAAGGTAAGGGTGATGCTATGGTAACCTTTTGTCAGGAAATGGTCATAAAATAGTGAGGAGTGATTGAATACGTTTTTGGTACCATGCTCTAGGAACACTCAAAAGTTTAGATAGAAAAATCCATCTAAGAATTGGTGTTTAAAAATAACGAAACTATATTAAACCAGCCTAAATTTAAACCAATTGGATTAAATGACTAAAGTACTTTGATAATTCAACTCTAAAAACAGTAGGTTGTGTAGGTTACATATAGATTGTGAGTTTTTCCCTCCCCCACCCTCCACTCAACATTAAATCTTGAAGCTTATTTTAAGACAGCGGTTGCAAGTACTAAAGGCCAGATGGCCGGAACCTTTTCTCTAATAGTCATAACGGAGCTTTCATCACCCTAAGTTACAAATTCTTCTTGTGGCAAACATTCTTTCAATTATTTATTCTAGGACACCATCGGTTTCGACTTAGCTGGCTTCTGCGGACCTCGACAAGATTGATATTGACTGAATCACGAAAAACGATTCAAAGTTTATTTTTGTCAATCAAAGCTACGAAGTATTATAACACATTTCTGACATCTTCCCTTTCAAAAAGAAAAGGGAAGATGTTGTCAGAAATGACAAAATTTATTTTTTTCAGTTTCATTTTATCTGAGTTCTATACCTAATATTTCTACGACAGTATTTGCTCCTTTCGAAATCTACTAAGTTGAAATCAGCCATCAGCTGGCCTTCCCATTTAGTTATTGAATTTAACGACAGTAACCGAAGAGCTATTCGATGCTTTTCGGTACGCCTTTCAAAGTCGGAAAAACTCATTTGAATTACAAATAATTTTTACAAGTTAATGTTCATATTTGCGATCGGTCTCGCACGTGGAAAGAGCGTAAGAAGTTCGAGAGATTTCAGCGTCTTTTGCAGCTTCTCTGGGGCCACAAAACACATCACTTCCACTGTTATACCTTTAGATATGGTCTGTTCAGTGTCAAGTCCAGCTTGTGTCTCTTTCTTCGCTCGAAGTTGCTGCGTAGGGTGGCTCAAATTCGATGACGAGGATTGATGAATGCCATTTTGTCTCGAATTTTCCTGAGGTACGTAACTAAGTGTAAATGCATATTGAATAGAAATACAGTGCCTCGCCGTTTCCCTTGAAAATCAGTTTAAATTGTAGAGTACGATACAAAAGGGAAAAGCATACTATACATGGTACAGAATAAGACTAATCCCCAAATGCAGCCGCCATGACGGTTCTTATTGCGCCATGTGACTCTGATTAACAGTGAGAAATTTTTAACATAAAGGTTAGGTTATTGATAGCTTGTTTAGTTATTCATCACTTTTTATTTCTACATTTGTTCTTATTCTACGCGATGCAATCACTTATGCTCACAGTATGTCAAAATTATATTTTCCTTAAACGCGCACATCGCTTCCCTGACACGCAAGGTTAAAACCCTGGCTGGGTCATTGTTTTATGTACTTAGGCGAGAAAATTCAACTCCATAACGTCTCTCTCGACCCATGAATATAAATAATCTAAATAGGTACCCGTGAACTGTCGGAGAAATCTGTTAAAATACTTAAGGGAGCTCAGCTCGTCCAGGGAAGAAGCGGAGGCTCCTAAAATCTTCATATCACAGATACCAGAATATGCTTCGGTAGCAGCCATGGGTGTTAGTTGTTAATTAGTTTCGTGTGCATAGATTAGTTTTTTTCTCGGATCACCTTCAAAGGATTTCGAAGGTAACGTAACTTCATTGTATTAGAATGGTAACTCTAGTGAACTCTTTTCGATTCTTTCGACATCAAGACATCTAGACATCAATTTTTATCATTCGCAGCAACCTGAAGTACATGTACTTACATAGAGAAGGGTACACTCCCGTTCGAAATCGATTTAAACTGTGTTTTGTGTTTTGGTTCCTTCTTCAGCACAACGTCAAGCATAGAATGAATAGAAATAAGAAATTCAAGGAAGGAAATGATAGAAACTGGGCAACTTTTTCTATGTTTGGTAATTAAATTTTTTAAAGTGAATTAGGCGCTTGTCTGTCTGATCTGCTATGAACGCTTAAATCCTTTAATCAATATTCTCTTTACTGTCTTTCAAACAAATCTTATGTCGTTAGTTTGGAGAATTTGGTGCTAACTAATGATCTTCTTGTTGATACTGTTCTGTATTCTCATCACTTGTCTGCTTGATATTGTATCAATATTGTATGGGGAAATTCTGTCTCGGTCACTCGTGGGAGTTTGAGGCATAAACCTGAATTTAAAGGACTGAAATACAAAAACTAGTTGGGTTCTAAAACAAAAAATTGATCGAATCCCTTGGCCTACAGCGCTTTTGGTTTGAGGAATCAATTGCTTTGTTTCTGTTGATAGCAAAACACTGGTGTCAAAGAAATAACTAATGGTTATCATGCATAAAAGTCCACTTGACCTACCTAATGTAGCGACAGTTTAGCCTGTCAAATATTCCCTTAATTTCGATATCTTTTCAGAGAATACTAATCTCGAAAAGGGGTTAGAAAAAGAAATACTTATTGAAAAATGGTATACCTTAAACTATTATTACCAGGGGATTATCTGATAAAAAAGATTATCCGTTGTGTTTTTCTTTTCGAATCCGAAAAAAAGATACTTTTTTTTAGTTAATACGAGTGCTTATCTAAGAGAGGGTATGTATATTTTTTTCCTCCCAAGGTAGTGTCAAGCACAGAATGAAAATAAAAACCTAGAAATCAGGAGATACAAGGGAGGAAAAAAAACCATAGAAGCATCCAGGAAGGTTTAATTGTTTTTTCAGTTAGTAACCACTGACTACTTGTAACTATTTATAGCTTGCAAGGCTGGTTTCCGAAACTTTGATTTTGCTTACGTTTCGATGACTTATGCGGAAGTCTGCGTAGACTTAAGTGTGTGTCATTCTATTGTTACAAGCCCATTGGGATATTTCGTTAGACCACGAACAACACTGAGGATCGAACTTTGGAGATTACCGACCTATAGCAACATACTGGTAAACCGGGACTTTTTAAGACTTACCATTGGTAAATTTGAAACTGAATTGGCGAGGCGCGCGCCACATAATAGAGAAAATGGCCTAAAAATCACCACAGGGGTGCATTTTTTTCTTGTTTTCACCAAAATCGCTTTGAATAAACCCCTTTTACCATATGGCCTTTGAAGAAGAGAGATTATGGAGGCCCCCTGTACCTTTTCTGTTGCTTTAGGACGTCTAGAAGACATATCAAATCGAGTATGAAAACTCGCTTCTTTACATA